CTTTGGAAGCATGGCATAAAATTTAAAACTGTACGAGAATTCTATGATCTCTACTTGATTTACAATTTTTGCCACTTTTTCGGTTAAATGTATAATAAATGGATAAAAAAAGCTTCGTTCTGGTACCTTCTTGGATTCCATCCGTAAAAATTTAATACAACGTATAACAATCTGCACTTTTTATGAAAAATTTGCTTAAATTGTCGTTAAAAAGCTGTCATATAGGGTATTACGTTAAAATTAGAGTACTTTAACTATTTTTTAAGAGATATTGATTTGTTGCGGCATCAAATTAATCAATGACATCTTTAAAATAATTAAAAACAAATTCCAAATACCAAGTAGTTTAGCTTAATAAAATAATTTGGAGTGTCACAAGAGTGAAGACCGAAACGAAAAAAACGTATTTTTTTCTTCATTAAAAAAATTCTTCAAAAAAAAAAGAACATCTTCACACACAGACTTTTTAAGATAATACCTATATGTATTATGCCTGCCGGGGTTATTAAGTTTAAAATACGACAGGAAAATGGGGCAAAACTTACATTGTGCACCATCATAATTTTACAAGCAAGATAAATTGCGATGAATGTGCCTTCATTTTAAAGATACAAGTCAAATATATAGTTGAAATATATGTTAATTTTCAATTTTGAATGAGATTTTACAATTTTTGTTTTTAAGAGCTTTTTTGTAGAAAAGTAACGTCTGATAAGAATGTCTTTTAAGCATTTCACATTATCTTGTAACCCAAGTGGCAAGGAAAGAAATGTCAAAGTTTTGAAAATTTCACACAAAGACTTTTCGGACATAGGTACCCCCTTAATCAATTTATGATATATTTCATTTATCTTTAATTTATGAATAAATGCTTCTTTATTAAATCTTTGAAAGATCACTTAAATAGAACAGGCAGTATCTGGACATAAATATATCTATAACTTCGTCCAAGTTGCCACTTCTTTTTTAAACAAAGCAGAGACCTGGTGATGATGGCATCACAAAATGAGCTTTAAGCCAGCGCCGCTTGCGCCGATACATGCTGCATAAAGGGTACACTATTTCCTGGTCGGTTCATTTAATTTGAAATATGGATCCCCTCTCAAATGCGTCCTTTCAACTTGGCCCTACGCCGTAGATCATTAGTAGTAATTATCTTGATTTAAGCCTGGATAGGACAATATTTAAGGAAATGCCCTAACTATATTCACTTAAAACATTCAGAATCCGTATGCTTTAAAAACTTTATTTGAAAGGTGGGGTAACAGTCGTGTGAGGTTCTGGAAAGGTTGCTTATGCTTGATAATATACAGTCCCTACCAGACCCAACCTGACACCCAAGCAGTCCCCGGGACTGCTTTGGTACTCCTGTGGGAACGCTCTGAAACTGCTCTAGAAAGCAGACCCAGATCTCCCTGGCATTTTCCCCTGCAGCTTAAGGTAAGCTGAAATTTTGTATGCCGAAATTAAATTTTGTCTTATTAAAGTATGAAGCGTAGGGGTGGATATGACCTTACGACAATAGTAAGACAAGGCGTACTTGTCTAGTCAAATGTTTTATGAAGTAGTGAAAATTGATAGTCATTAGTCCGTCGGACCAGTGCTTACAAATATTAATTTCGAACCCTTTCGTACAATGCTAGAGAAAATTAAAGCATTTCAGCAACTTGATTCAATATTTCCTTTAATTGTACGTAGGTAGTTTGTATACTTAATTTCATATTCATCAACGAAGCGTAGTTAAGAAATTTCATTAAAAGTTAATTGTTAAAGTTTGATGATAATGCTTTAAATATGACAAAAGTTCCTTTAAATTTACATGCTAAAAGCGTAATATACAACATCTATTTACAATGTGTCTTTAGTTGAAAACCAGCAGACGATAAAATGATTACAATGTATATCTAATCTTTTATCCTTATCATAATATTGTGACATCTTTTAATTAAAAAAATCAAATTGCTCCTAAATATCTTGATATTTAGCATGTTTTTACAGTCTACAATTTACCCATTTCAACTAAGTTCTCATAACTTGAAGAAAAAATATCTATACAATGTAATTTCCAGTTACACAAAACGAAATATTTTAAATTTAATATACAAAAATGATCCATTAAATCCAATTTTTCATAAGCATATACATATCTCTATTCAAGGTAATTAATTTTCTTAACCTTTCCTCCCCATTCAGCAACAAACAAATAATTTTTATTCACACATAAACCAAATTCCTTCACATCACTGTAATCTATGTAACGGAGGAACTGTCCATCCTGGTTTAAGATGTGAATGCAGTTATTATAGATGTCTGCTGTCAGGATGTGACTCTGACTGTCTGTTGTGATGCCAGTGTCTTATTTTTCGATTTCATGATGTGATCAATCGATTGGGTTGCGTGATAATTTGCATAAACGCCGAAGGCGTTTATGCGTAAAATTATCACGCAAGCCAATCGATTGATCATCGTCATGAAATTGAAAAATCTGACAGTTATTCCTTATATTTACATGCTTTGATTTCGCCAATCCACGTGCTCCAATCCCTGCTTCTGTCTAGCTGTTTGTTCCGCCCTCCACGTGGTTTTTTTGGAACCGCGCCAATACATTGATGGGGAAATAAAGTACATTTACAATTTGTAATTTTATCTCGGACAAAGACATTGGAAATGTAAATATAGTAGGAAGATGACCAGTGTATCTAAATCGGATTTTTCCAGCTTGGTTGACAACTACAATAGCACCAACTTCACAGTCAGCCACACAGATATCCAGGTTTCTGTTCTCACTGATGTACTTAATTATATGATTTCCTGAATATTTACCCTCCTTATCAAACTGAATTGTTTGTTTCTCCATGATGCCTGAGAAACGGACAACTTTAGATCGTGTTTCATCATCATTGTACATAGTAACCAGTAGATCACCAGAGGAGGTGACACAGAGTTGCGAAGGTATCCAGCCCCGTAGTCTGATCATCTTTTTTGTCTGACCATTTGTAACCTTATAAACAGTACTAGTCCCTTTCTTCCCTTCAGAGTATACTAGATCTCCATCACCTGTCACTGCTATACCATTTGGAAATATCCCTGATATTCTTCCGATTGTCTTGAATAGTGAGCCTTGAATGTTAAAGCATTTCATATCACTGGCTTCTCCACTTGTCCAGATTTCTTCTTCACTGAGACAGGTAACACTACGGAGTATTTCATACCCAGTATCTATAGTAGTGATTAGTTCTGGTTCTTCCAGCAGTTCTCTGGTTGTCGTTTCTGGTTTCTTTAGTTTGTAGCCATTTTCTTCTGTTGAAGTGTATAATGATGCAAGAGATCCAAAGAACTTCTTGAGCTGTTCTCTATCTGCTGGTTTAGCATTAAAAATGGGCAGTGATACTTTCACCTTGGGAGAAAGTTTGCTGAATTCTTTGTTTCTGGAGCTGTATTTCATTTTCATGGACACTTCATTTGATTCTTCTATTTCCTTTAAGTTGAGCAGAGTTTGATCAATAAGAGTCTGTATTTGTATCACTTCTTCTGCATGCTTCTTCATAATGTCAAAGTGTTTTTCTTTTAAATCACCAATTTCTTTTTTCATGGTATTGATGACATTGTCAATTTCTCTGTGCCATTGTTTTCCATGTTCTGTCACTGCTGTTGTAAGTTTCTCATATTCTTCATCCAAGTTAGTAATCTGTGTTTCTAGATCGTTTGAGATTTCTTTGTATGTAGGATAAATAATGTTTTGTAATTCCTCTGTATCTTTTGCGATATCATTTTTCTTGGAGTCGTATATTTCTGCGAGGACTAAGTATTTATGTCCTTCATGCTGTTCTGTTGCAGAGCATAAGGAACAAACAGGAAAGTTACATTCCTTGCATTGTAAATCATATAATTTGGTTTGATGTGTTGCACACTTTGGATAAATCAAGGTGGATTTCTTTTGTTGGAATGGAACGATTTGATGTTTGTTATAGTCATCAGCAATATGATCTCCAATACAGGGTTTACAGAGTTTAACATGACAGAAATCACAGTGCATCTGTATTATAGCTGTCTCACAAAGGTCACATCTCACCACATCCTGGGCACTGAGGCGTGTATCCATAGTTTCTGGAGAAGTTCTATAAATAAATAATTGTCTTGTCATTAAAACTGATTCTGCAATTTTTATGAATTAATAATTATTTGGGCTGGTCAATGAATACTCATGAGTATTACTTCCTTATATTTAACTGTAAAAAAAAGGTACATATTTAAATGTCACATACATGTAATATGTTAATTAAAATAGGAATTGTTAATGCTGGAATCTAATTGTAATAACTTTTTTGCATATCTACAGACTAAATTAATTCGAGTTTTAATTTTAGGCTAAATTTGAAATGAGCTTTTGAAATTTTATTATGAAAATATACAAACTGAAAGTAGATTTGCAAGTACAGTTTCTATAATGAATTTCCAAATATAATTACCGTTGTAGTTACTAAAAAAACTTGTCTCAATCCTGTTTACAAACGTTACATGGTCCAGGGTCGCGATTGTCACCTCCACAGTGCATGTTCATACTTAGTTTGTGATCGTTCTGAAATTAGAGTTATCGCTCTTGCTGCATTTATTGCGTTGTATGAACTTTAATTGAGCACCCCCCTTCTTAAATATCGTAATCGATATGCCTATGATGGTTACAGTTTAAAGTCTGAAGATTATAAATAAGACTCACATTGCCCCCTCCTTAAAACAGTTGTTTAGCTTTGAACATTGCAAATACAATGTATCTTACATTCATCTTAATAACTGTATGACTGAATTAATCATATCGCTGTGATTGGCGGAGATCCAAAATTGTTTAAAATGTAATATTATTGGGTTATTGAACTTATATTGGTGAATATTGGCACAAGTTGGCTGTACAAATGCACGTGCTTGCGAGTGCATTTGTACAGCCAACTTGTGCTAATATCAAGTTCACCAATATAAGGTCAATATGACTCCTTTATTATATAGCTAAACATTTCCTCATAATTCATAACAATTATTCCAAACTCAAAATAATGTTTTTTAGTATAGCTTTTCAAATTGACGCCTGTCCTGTAAGTGTTCAATATCACATCATTTCAACGACCCTCTGCTTACTAGTATATGTAGTATTTCGAAAAAATCGAATACGTACTAAAATTTTGATAAATAAAATCATTTTTTGTGTAAAAAATAAACAATCTAACCCAAATGCCACTTCTTTTTTTAATTTAGCTCTGAGAATTTGACCAGACAATTTTTTGTTTACAAAGGGGCGTTTGATATTCACTCGGAGTTCCTCGGATGACTCGTACATGTACCTTGCACATAATGGAATTACGTCAGCGGAGGATTGCCGATTGTTTGATATTAAGCTCTCGTATTCGAAATGTTTCGGGCATATTCGTATACGTTATACAAACTTAGCGTTCAACAAAACGTCAAGACATAGAACCCTTAAATTCTCTAGATATTTGGTAGTGTTTTATCAGAGACTATTTATTAGCTATATAATGATACGTTATATGACCGTCCAGGTGAACTTATTCTTGTACATGGTTTACTTATTACAAATGTGTGGATATTTATGGCCGGATATGATGTTAGCCCAGTTTATCAATACATGTCTTGAACTGTCCATCTTCATCAAGTATATGCTAAACAACCATAACTGTTGTCTGCCAAAATGATATGACTTATGAAGTTTATCACTATATATTTACATCCACTGAATATTTTCTTCTTTATTTCTTAAGAAAACCCATTGCGTTCATCACTGTATGAACTACATTAGGCATATCACCTCTACAGATTTCTTGATCAGTGGCCGTTCCATCAATGAAACGTACAAAGACGTTCGCATCATTTACACAATAATTAATATTTTTAATCCTACTTAAAATGATAATTTAAACAGATATAAATATAAACAATAAAATGTCTTTCTTTGTTTGTTATTACTGGAATGAACGGTCGCAGCTATTGCAGAAAAAATTTACATAACCCGCTTACGCGGGTTATGTATTTTTTTCTGCAACAGCTGCTTCCGTTCATTCCAGTAATAACAAACAAAGAAAGACATTTTATTGTTTAAATGTCTAGGATCAACTGTTTTCACTACCGTGTCTGCTGTGCCGTCCTATCGATCTTTTCCTCTCTTGTCTATTTTCAATATAACAACTACATTTCAGCAGTATAGTCAGAAGCGCAAATGTGCATGTATTTCTGTTATACATAAATGAAAGTACATGTATTTATAGAAAGCTTTAACGATTTCGTCCCTTTGTTTCAGTTTCTTTTTACCTGGGGTAGCATTAAGTATACATGAATGAATATACATTATTTAGAGAGGTAAAACTTATACCGTATAAGTAAAATTTTTAGCGAGAATTTAATTTTGGCATTATAACCAAGGGTTCTGAGATTGCTCAAATTGAATGTATCGCTAAAAATTAATTGCGTATTATTTGTAATAACTTCTTTGGTTAGCATTTTAAAAATCGCCAAAATTACTTCTCGCTAAAAATAAAACACCAAATTTTAGGTAGAAATCGCTAAATTTGCGTCTCGCTAAAATTTCCACTTATACGGTATGATTTTGTCCATTTTAAGAATTTTTATAGCTAGCTTAGATCTACATGTATATGTGGATGTCATTTACAGTTTGCTAAATATTGAATGAAAATCCTGAAGCTCCTTTAAAAAGTTCATTGCAAATATGATGTAAAATATACGTAAATCCAGTATTATTGGTTAGTCTTGCAGTAAACTGATAGGAATTATATTTGTAAATGTCTACAATTTAGTTCTAGCTAAATTAGTCAACTGATTAGAATTAGCATTGCATCAATATCAGAAATTAGCATCAATAAAGGAATCTATTTCTCAAATTTGATAAATCTGTAGGTACCTTTCATTTACTAGAACTTAACCTTAAAAAGATGCCTAAGTTTCTAATTAACAACAGTATCTATGTAGTTTTTGGAAATTCGGTCTTTTAATAATCCTCTGGGTACAGTCCGTCATTAGCAGACCTTTTTTTTCATCCATATGAAGAATGTTGATTGAAAACCTTCATGTTTAAAAGATAAAGTACTTGCTTGCTGATGCCTTTGACTCGACAGTTAGATCAATCAACGACGTATTATCAATTAATAGTAACTTTCATTCGTATGCTGATTCGATATATCTCAATAAACGTGAAATAAAACGCACCGCAGAGTTTGACACTTCTGTTTCCTACTTGGATATTTTACTAAAATAAATAATGGTACCCAACAACAAAACTTTGTGATAAAAACGATGGCTTCAACTTTTCTATCGTTGCTTTTCCTTACGTACAATGTAGCAATATACCCTTTTCACCTACAGAAAGGGTTTATGTCTCCCAATTAATTAGATAGGCAAGATTATGCTCTATACCTACGATGGATTTTTAACACGAGGCAAAATACTAATGAAAAAGGTGACGAAATAAGGATTTTAACATTCTTGTTTGAAGTCATCATTTCGCAATTTCTATGGTCGATACAACAACGTAATAAGCAAATACAATCTTTTCACAGGTCAAATGCTGATTGAATTGCTAGGCCATTATTACACACTGAAATTTCTACGGATTTTTTAATTTGCTGGTCATGAAAAGTAGCACACGGGGGTGTGGCTGTCGACAGGGGATGCTTATACTCCCATGGCATCTAATCCAACCTCTGATGCTTTCAGAGGTTCGTGGTTTCTCTACTCAACATTTGTATTATTTGAATGAATGTTAAGTTTGAATACTGTTCGTTATACATGTATTTGTTCATATTTAATTCTACTTATCTTTAAAATAATTTTTATCTTACGGTCATAACGAATGTTTTAAAAAAATTGCTCTCCACTGCAATATAGACATGAGCATTTCAGTGCAACGCAGTCTAGAACCCACAGTTTTGAAAAAAAAAGATCCTTTAAAAATGGAGGTGATATCTTCAATGAGGTAAATCGAAGAATTCTTGTTTTTCTTCCTATTTGACCGGTGTATCTTGATCCTAATTCTGTCTGTTTTGTTTTCTTTTTCACCAAAATTGGTCATTAACCCCCTTTTTCCAATAATGATTAATATCTAAAAAATCTCTATAGAGGGATATCCACTGCATAAAGGGGTAAACGTAATGAAAAAAAATCATTGAGTGCGTAATTACTGGTATGTCATAGGTTAATTGTTAAAATTATCTTTACCGTCACTAGGTCAGTATCGTGTTACATTCAAGTTTTAGAATTCGGTGAACTTAAAAACTAGCAACTAACAATTTAGATTCTCTGAGTTCTCCAACTTTATTGTAACAATTGGACTGGAATGGGTAAAACACTTACATGTACAAACAATAATTGTTCAAAATTACTGTAACATTATATACATTGACCACAGTGAATGGATTGATTAAACCGTACCTAGAAAATGACAAATGTTCTCATAAGACAGAAATAATAATTATTTGAATTGATGCATAACATATGCATGATATCACAATAATGATTGATCAACGAAACATGTTAATTGTTTTAAAATTACAAAACAAATCTATATGAAAGATTTCTTTTCACTCGTCGTATTTACAAACAAAGAAAGCATCATTTTTTAATGTCATTAGCACAGTATATTAGTCTCACGAATAATAATTGACGACAATTACATAAATATGTTCTTGAAAATGAATCTAAATCTTGTCTACCCAATATTTATTACAAACAGCATTCCATAATACTTCTCCTTGATATCAATTCTTAATATTTACATTCGCTGTGTTTTTCTAGTAAGCCAACTGTGAAATTGATTTGAAAACCATTTTCGTGTATACTCACGCGTAGAAATATACACGGAGAAACGTGCGTCAACGTGACATCACAATGAGGCTGCAGCGACGTTAGTAAAAATGCGACGATATAGGGCAGCGAGAAATTCAAATATTTAGCATAATTCAATTGCTTCCTAACATGTAAAATGTAATATAAGGAATGTTTTTTCAGTTTAGTGTGAATTATTGGTGTGTGAATCACACAGACTTGCACGTAGGCATATTTTTCATGAAGCGCGCTAGAAATGCCTATGTGACAAGTCTATGCGATTCACACACCAATAACTCACACAAAACTTAAAAGCATTCCTTAAATATCTAACCAGAAGAATAACTAAAGTAATTGAATTTTTACTTACACATTTCCTATATCATCATCCATATCAAAATGTTGATATTATACAATTATTGCTGTTTTTGAGGTTAATACATAGAGAATAATACATACCCTTTTCCACATCACATCCTGTATCAGCCCGAGACACCAATATCAGCCAGAGGGCTGATTATGTTTATTACATACTTAGTAATAAAATACACCACACATTAAGTTGAGAAGAAAATAAGTGAATAATCATGCATAGACTTCTTACATACATGAACATGGTCTATTGTCTCATACGGTTTGGTTTTGTCTCTAC